GAGAGAGAGAGAGAGAGAGAGAGAGAGAGAGAGAGTATGTGTGTGTGTGTGTGTGTGTGTGTAATATAAAGGTTTATAAATAAATACAGATACCTTTATAAGTAAATGTAAGTGTTTCTGTTTTATGTAAATGGGACCATACTATACACACTTTTTCTATACTGTGCTCTTCTTACCTAATGATAAATTGTCTTAGAGTTAATCTCATCATTCCATATGGGCCTACTTCATTTTGTTTTTTAAATATCTGAATAGTATTTTACAGTGAAGGTGCACCAACATTTATTTTAAAAATATGTTTGCATTAGTCTGGATTCCAGCAGAAAACAGATGGCACAATCAAATTAGTATAACTCGTGGAAGTTTATGCAGTGACTAACTATGATTACCCGTAAAGGCAAGGCAGGTATAGGAGGAGCTTCAACAGCCAAGATGTAGCAACAGCAGAGCTGTTACCCCTAGGGTCTGAAGGCAGGAAGAAGGGAGTTTACCAAGACTTAGATTTCATTTTACATTATGAAAACACTTCCTGTAGGCTGTAGAAATTTGATCAGTTGTAACTTTGTGCCACGTGAGTAGATTTGTACTCCTGCACTTGAGCACTGGCTATCTCTGTGCAAAGTTAGGGAGATTCTCTCTCTTTTTTTTTTCAAGTTTTGAGTGTCAGAATGGAAGGGTCTGTTAGATATTAAAATGTTCCTTCTGGGGGGGGTTGTCTGTGATTCCAGCCCTTACCTCTTCCGTCTCTTTGAAGCATCTAGACCCATATCAATTATAATCAGAGGACAAGTGCTTCAAGCCATTTGCCACAACCAGAGCAGCCAGTAACAGAAACAGTTCCAAGGAATATCCAATATTAACAGTGCCTGTGGAAACCCCCCATCACCGGAGAGAGGCCCCCACACCCATTATAGGGTGCACCCCACATACCATACTGTCTATGCAACAACTGCCTAAATGGCTAGAGTCCCTACTCAAAGACGTGTAGAGACAGTAGGTCTCTCCAGCTCGGATACAGTATGCACTTTGCCCACAGTTGCTAGTCTCAACCAAGGGAGCTGCAGGGAGATTACACTGAGGTGCCAGGCTGGAAGTAAAGTCAATATTGTACACTAAGCTGTCATGCCAAGACACGTTGTCAGGAGAAAGCTGCTTCCTAAGACAGCTGTCCCACAAAACAGTAGAGATATCCATCCAACAGATGCATAATTTTCAACACAGAAGTACAGAAKCACAGTAAAACAAGGTAATATGACATCTTCTAAAGTTCGTGACTCTCTAGTAACAGATTCCATAGACRCTGAAGTGAATGAAATACCTGATAAAGAATTCAAAAGAACAGTTTTTTTTAAAAAGTCCAATGAAATCCAAGAGAATACAAACAATGATATGAAAGAAGAAAGACAATGCAGTATTTGTATATATGAGCAAGACATGGAGGAAAGAGAGATTTTTGGGGAAAAAAGCAACATCAGAAATATTGGAAGTGAAAAGCTCAGTATGAAAAATTCACTTGAAAACCTCAACAACAGACTAGATCAAGCAGAAGAAAGAATATCAGAGCTCGAAAGCAAGTCTTTACAAATATTATATTCAGACAGAAATTAAAAAATTAAGGAAGAATGAAAAGAACATTCAAGATCTCTGAACACCACTAAAAGATCAAAGGTTGTCATTACGGGTGTACCCAAAGGAGAAGAAATAAAATGTCAATGGCATAGAAAACCTACTGAATGAAATGCTTCAGAAAATTTCCCAAATCTTGGGAAAGACAAGGACATCCAGGTATAGAAGGTCTTTAGAATCCTAAATAGAAAAGACCAGAAAAGAACCTCACCATGACGTATTTTAGGAAACTGTCAAAAGTAAAGGACAAAGAAAGAATTTTAAAATCTTCAGGAGAGAAGCATCAAGGCACAATTAAAGGCAAACCCATTATACTAACTGCCGAGGTTTCAACGGAAAAGGCCAGAGGGCATGGAATTATGTATATAAAGTCCTGAAAGAAAATCACTGACAGTCAAGGTCACCCAGCAAGGCTGTCCTTCAGAATCTAAGAAGAAATAAAGATCATTACTATAAGCATACAGTAAGAGAATTCATGACCAATAGGCAGCCTTCTAAAAGGTACCTAAGAGAATCCAACACCCAGAAGTGGAGGAAAGGTAACTACAATCATGAGAGCATGTGAAAGAATAAATCCCAAGAGAAGCATAGATATGCAAATGAGAAATAGGAAGTAATCAAATATTATCACTAGAGTAAAGCCTCTAACTACACTTTTCACAAAATTTAAGAAGATGGAATCAGCCTAGGTGCGCATCAACACATGGATGGATAAAGACTGTCTCTATGCATCATATAATCTTAATACTACAAGGGAGTATTATTTAGTCATAAAGAAGAATAAAATCCTACTTGCAGAAAAATAGATGGAACTGGAGGACATCATGTTAAGTGAAATAAGCCAGACACAAAAAGTCAAGTATTTGCATGTTCTGTCTCATATACATGGAAACTAAAAATGAAAATAAATAAATAAATAATTGACCTGAAAGTACAAGGGAGATTTCTAGGGACTGGGAAGGGTGTAGTGAGGAAAGGCTCAGGGTGGTRTAGAAGAAGGGTGGATGSACATGATCAATTCAAGAGTATGTGGAAATAGCACAGTGAATCCCATTTATCTGCACAATGGAAATAGAAATAAGTGAAGAAATGTTTTTTTTTAGGTGTTTCCTCTATGTATTCCAAGACATWGTAGGCATGTTGAGATGACATGTAGCCCATTTCTCTGTTTGACCGTAAGTTCATTTTTAATTAAATGTCAAGGTTGGGACTGTGATTAGAATCAGTTTAGGTGGATTCAAGTAAAAAAAAAATGTCAAAAATGTTAGAAACCTCATTGAGAATAGAACAGAATACTTTTAGTTTTCAGTTTCATAGAGGAATCAAAACTTTGTTGTTGTTTTTCTGTACTGGGGATTGAACCTTGGTGCTACCACTGAGCTACATCTCCTACCCTTTTTATTTTGAGACAGGGTCTCTCTTAATTTCCCCAGGCTGACCTTGAGTTTGAAATCTTCCCTCTCTGGAGTSTCTGGGATTACAGAAGTGTGTATTGTGCCCGGCTGAAGACATTTTATATTTGAAGGAAAGAATAAATTTCATGAAAGAGAGCAAAAGTAAATGTGAAAYTTCTGCAGAATAAGAAGAAATGAAAAGAAAATGCCCTGAGATTCTTTCTGTTTTACCAAAACCGAATAGTATAATGAGCTTTTAAGTGGGACAATAGAGAAGTTAGATGAAACAGTATATTAAAATTTTAATTTGGAGACACTATAACATATGAACATGTAGAAAAAAGTTTGAATATAAACATACCATGACACTAAGTAGATTATTTTACTAGAATATTTTACCAAGAAGAGCGGGAACAAGAAAGGATGTGTAAGACACGGTTTGCCTGTCATTTGCAACAGCATGAATGGACCTGGAAGATATTATGCCAAGTGAAATAAGCCAGTGGCAGAAGGACAAATATTACACAATTTCACTTCTATGAAGTATCTAAACATTCACTTATAAAACCTGATAATTGAACAGTGGTTACCAGGGAGTGGTGGRGGAGGAGGCGTATAGAGGGAGTTGTTCAATTGGTAGAAAGTTTGAGTTTTAGAAGATAAATGAATTCTAGAGATCTGTTGTACAGTGTAGCATTTATTGTTAGCAATATGATGCACACTTAGCAGTTTGTTAAAAGGGTAGATTTCAGGTTAAGCATTCTTACTACCTCTTTCAGGGAAGGGTGAGAAAAAGCATAGAGACACAAGGACATTTTTACAAGTGATAGATAATGCTTATTACTCTAATTGTAGAAATGGTGATCACAGGAGTTTGCTTATGTCCAAATTCATCAGTTGTGTATATTAAATATGTGCAGTTTTTTTTGGTCTATCAATTATACCTCGATAAAGCTACAGAAAAAATGAAATAGAGAATGTCTTTTAAAAAGAGACCTATGATCTTTTTTCCCCCCTTATAATAGAATTGAAGAATTAGGGAATGATTATTCTTTTATATTATAGCTAAAAATAAGTATCATATGTATCTTATCTATKCCAATATTTTAAAGTTCTGAACTCTGGAACTTTGGCAAAATGTCATTATTGTAATGTGATTAGTTTTTTTTTTTTCATTTTTATAGTTGGACTCTTTTGCACATCTTGACATTCCTTGCTGAATTATCTATAGATGAGTAGTATTAATCTTCTGGTGTCAACGAATTAGATCCCAGTGAATTTTCTACCATTTCCTCAGGATGCCCCAAATGGCTATCCCAAAATGTGTCATAAGTGCCAAACTTTAAAGAATTTCTGGGAAAATTATTTTGGGGGCTTAAATTCCTTTTATAGCCATGAACTCAATACTATTGATACTTACATGAAAAACAGAACACATCTCTTTGCAGAAACCACACCAGTTTGCTGAAAATTCAACTACCACAAGTTGACGTCCAGCATCTTTCAAAAATGTGTTGAATTMATTCTGAAACCAGAACACAAATGAGGAAATGTGCTCAATCACAGAATCTCATAGAGCCTTACAGAGAATAAAATCACAGGGCTGGTGGGATTGCAAATTAGTGCAACCACTGTGGAAAACAGTATGAAGATTCCTCAAAAAACTAGGAATAGAACCACCGTATGACCCAGTTATCCCACTCCTCGRTATATAACCAAAGGATTTAAAATCAGCATACTATAATGATGCAGCCATATCAATGTATACAGAAGCATGATTCACAATAGCTAAGTTAAGCTATGGAGCCAAACTAAAGGCCCTTCAACAGATGAATGGATAAAGAAAATACACAATGGAGTGCTACTCAGCCATGAAGAAGAATGACATTATGGGATTTGCAGGTGAATGGATGGAACTGAGACTATCATGCTAAGTGAAATAAGCCAGTTCCCAAAAGTCAAACGTTGAATGTTTTCTCTGATATGTGGAAGCTAAAACAAAATGGGGGAAACAAGAAAGAAAGAGAGAAAAAAAAAAGAGGTGAGGGGAATTTCATCAAAATAGAGGAAATATCAGTAGAGTAGATGAAAGATATTGAGGAGGAAGAAGAAGGGATGGAAAAAGGGAAGAGTGGTGGAATGATCTGACTGAAGTTTTGTATGTGCATGGATACGGCCAGGTGGGTTCAGTATCAGGTGTGCCCACAGGACACTAATTAAAAAAAAAAACTGTAAATGGATTCAAGAAGGATTGGTGGAGTGGAGGGAGGGTAGAGGGAGCAGGTGGGAAGTGTTGGGGACTAAATCAGAGCAGGTTGAATTCCATGCTTTCGTGATTATGTGAAGATGGATCCTGCCTGGTGTTGTATCATAACTAAAAAGAGTTAAAACAAAACAAAACCTTAACCAAGTGCCCTACCCTACTGTTCTCAAGCCAATACAACCTTTTATAAATGTGTCAGAGGTCTGACATATTTCCCTTTGTAAGTACATATAAATGATGAAAATTCCACAAAACATTTAGGAGTTTATTCACAAAATGAGTTGGTAATGGAAGCTGTTGTTGGTGAATTACCTCTGGAAAGAAAATGAGGTTGGCCAGAAAGAAATGAGAGTGGCTAGGTTGGAGGTGAGCTGTCATTCAAAATGGAAATCTATATTTGATTTTTTTTTAAACAAAGCCTTAAAGATTTACTAATGGTGAAATTAAAGGAAGAATTAATGTAACACCTTCAGTAATTTCTTGTTTTGTTTTGGGGGAGTGATCATGATTCATTTCTCCAAGTCAATATAGGACTCAACCCTGATTCACCTAGCTCCTCTCATGGTCTTTAATGGGCACCTGGAATGTYTACTGGTGACTGAGTGATTTGCTGCTCTAGAGGGCTCTGTTCAAGATTTATTTTTCCTTTACCCATTGGAATTGCAACAATAGAAGCTTATTTACTCCGTGCTTGATGTTTTGTCCTATAATCTCCAAAAACACTCTCTGGGATATGTACTATTATCATTTCTATTTCACAGATGAGAAAGCAGAAGTTCATTAACTTTCTCCTGGTCAGCCGCTGGTGAGTGATGTAGCTGGGGTTGTTAATCTAGGTGGTTTGCCTCCAGAGCTTATACCCTCTGCCAAAGATACAAAATCATCTCCTGAGTTCTTCATCTTCTGCTGATCTTAACTGCATCCTGTGCTCATCCCTGACCAATCATTAAGATGGGGTGCCGGAAGCCATCCATTACCCATCTGAACTAAAGCGGTGTTGAAGCCATTGGGCAGGAAAGCCAGGTATCAGGAACTGCCAGTACCAACCCCACTGGTTGGAGGATGCCTAGTTCATGTGGCGTCCTACCCAGCTCCATCACAAGTTTCAGCATAGCACCGGAGATGGAGTGACCCACAGGAGCCACACAGCTTCTTGGAGATGAGTGTGRCCTGCCAAATGCCAATCAACCTGTTTACTGCAAGACCCCTGCCACACTGAGAAGCAAGCACCAAGACTCCTCCCGCTGAAACCTTATCCCTGYTTTTGGATGTACTTCCCCTTAAATAAGGAATTGGGGCCCCTTTTCAATTGTTCAGTCAGGACTGGAAGGCCTATCAGGCRCTCCTCTTTTTCTATCTAATTTCTAGCTCTGTCTTTATTTCTTACTGATTATTTCAGACTTTTTATTTCCCAGGCAGCTCACACTGCCCGAGCAGGGACCTACCCTGGTGGGACACCTGGCATGAATGGGGGAGGGGATCATGAGTTGGATTAAGTCAAGCAGGGCCCATCTCCATTGGGGACGGGGCTCATACTGTTCATGTGCCTGCTCTATAGTAGTGGGGTTTTGACAATCATGTTCCCATTTGGTTTAGTTTCAAGTGGATAAAACTGAAAACTCAAAGATGTGCTTCTTCCTATACCCAAATTCCTCTAGGAGAGAAGGATACAACTGTGATCTAAAACACAGACAAGAAAACTTCTTKCCTTCATAGAGCTTACATTTGAGAAGCAGAAGCCAACAGTAGGATGGATAGTTAAAATAGGTAGTTTGTGATTATAGTGATAACTGCCAAGAAGAGAAAAGTGAAAGAAGAAGGAAAAACAGGGAGTGAACTACAAGGATCCACCTCAAAGTCTTGTACCACCTTGAGGTCCACTCAAAGAGAAGGGACAGTTGAATAAAGATGGGAACGAGACCGTGGGCCCTCAGGAGAGGTCTCTGGGGAGGAGAGGAGAGGGCTTCTCAGGGAAGAGCAAGGCCCCAGGTTATCCTGTGAGATCCCTAGGAAATTTTTAAAATGAAGTTTCAAAAGCATTTGCCAACATGCGGTGTTTTAAAACAATTTTTTTTTTTGTAACAAAGTTACATGGCAGTGCTTTCTTTTAATCTGGTCATTGTCATTTCTGCAACCTTATGTATAGTCACATTTAGGGAAAATGTCCAAAGTCTAAATCTGAGGGTCTGGTGGCTGTGGGCTCAGGAACCRTGACCTCCCCAAACCCCCACCTATATCCTCTTCTAATATGGCCTGATTCTAATGCCCCCATTAGTAGGATTGAAGATATCATCCCTTAAACAAGGTAGGCCCCTGTCTTCTCTTGTRGAGGCAAGTTTCTTCTTTATAATGATCTCTGCCTTATACATGAATTTAGATTTATTGGGACAGTAACATTGAGAACCAAATCAATAAATGGGTTAAGGAGGGGCTGGCATTGTGGCTCAGGGGTAGAGTGCTCACCTAGTACATGTGAGGCCCTGGGTTTGATCCTCAGCACAACATAGACAAATAAAATAAATAAAATAAAGGTATTGTGTTCAACTACAACTAAAAAAATATTAAAATATGAGAAATTTTAAAAAATGAACTAACGAACTGAATAGACACTTCACAGAAGAAATACAATTGTCAACAACTATATGAAAAATTGTTCAGCATCTCTAGTAATTAGAGAAATGCAAATTACAACTATACTGAGATTCCATCTCACTCTGGTCAGAATGGCAATTATCAAGAATACAGGCAACAATAAATGTTGGTGAGGATGTGGGAAAAAAAGTATATTCATACATTGCTGGTGGGGCTGCAAATTGGTGTACCAATATGGAAAGCAGTGTGGAGATTCCTCAGAAAATTTGCAGTGGAACCACCATGTGATCCAGCTATCCTACTCCTTATATACTCAAAGGTATATCCCACTCCTTTTATACCCAAAGGACTTAGAATCAGCRTACTACAGTGACATAGCTACATCAATATTTATAGCAGCTCAATTCACAGTAGCCAAACTATGCAACCAACGTAGATGCCCTTCAATAGATGAATGGATACAGAAAATGTGGTATTACTTAGTCTTAAAGAAGATGAAATTATGGCATTTGCCAGTAAATGGATGGAACTGGAGAATATCATGCTAAGCGAAATAAGACAATCCCCCCTAAAACAAAGGCAGGTGCTAATATATGCAGGTGCTAATTCATAATAAGGTGGGGGGGAGGCTAGGGAAAAATAATAGACCTACTTTGGATTAGGCAGAAGGGAGTGAAGGAAGGRGAGAGGGCAGGGATTAGGAAGAATAGTAGAATGGATCAGATATTGTTACCCTATGTGCATATATGATTACACAACTGGTGTAATTCTATAACATGTACAACCAGAAGAATGAGAAGTTATACTCCATTTATGTATGATGTATCAAAATGCGTTCTACTGACATGTATAACTAATTTGAACAAATCACACACAGACACAGACACACAGACACACAGACACACACACACACACACACACACACACACACAAACTCCAGAAAGTTCTAAAAACAACAACAAAAAAATCTACTAGGAATTTTTGATACTACTGGTCATTACTATTCTCCGTCCCATTCCAGAGGCATGTCTGAGGCTTCTGATCTCTTTCCTAGGATGCAAGAAAAGACATCAACCCTCTCACTTCGATAGAATTTTCCAGGTCCTACTAAAGCAGAATCTATGAAACAGGATATATTGGGAGCTGGCCAAGGTCCAGATAGAATCAGAGCAAGAAATAGGAATTGGGGAGGAAGAAAATCCTTTTTGACCAATTTGTCCCTTGGCTGCCTCTCTAGATGGGAGCGAGACAGTGGGCCCTCAGGAGAGGTCTCTGGGGAGGAGAGGAGAGGAACAACCCAAAGAGGAAGAATGGGAAACCTCCCCTTGCTCCACAGCAGAGAAAGAAAGGGGAGGTGAAGGAAATAACTCTTGTTTACCAACTTGGTTTTTAAGGTGGTCACTTCTGAACTATTTAATGAAGCCAAGTAAATACTTGCCACGTCTTTAATAACATGCACCATGATTTATATCKGAGAATTGTTGACGAAGCTCTCCTGGGGGCTCAGGTGTATTAATATAGCTAGACTATTTGTAGGATGATGGAGCTCTCCTGTGGGCTTGGTGGATCAATATAGCTAGATTATTTGTAGGCTCTTTGCTGGAATATAAGGGCAGTTTCTCTGTGACATCATTGAACCTACAGTCTCAGAACCTGGAACTTTGGCAGAGTTTGGATCTAGTTTCACTTTTATGCCACAGCTAGTTAGTTAACTTGTGGTCAGCCAAGCCTCAGCAAATGGAGGCCCTTGTTGCAGAATCAATAATGTGTTTGATTTGTTTGGGTCTTTTATCACCGATTTCCATACATCCTTTTCCCTTCTCCAACCTCCACCCTCAAATCACCAAATGAGAAGTAACTGGGGGAATAGTAAACACATAATAGATATTTTCATTTAGGACTTCAGAGGAATTCTTTTGCTCTTGAGAAAAATACTAAAGCCTTAATCCTAAAATAGGTTTCCTGAAAAAATTTATGAGTCATAGATTCCCTGACTTTGTTATTTTGCTCTATTTAGAAGGTAAAGAGACTTCACTTTTAGCACTAAATCAGAGATTGGCAAAACTTTTCTGCAAAGGGCCAGATAAGACCCTTTAGGCTTCAGGAGCCACAGATAGAATTTTTTTTTTTGGCATGTTCTTTGTTTTTATAACCTTTTAAAAAATCTAAAGCTATCAGCTCACACAAAAATAGTAGCAGTTTGGCAAAGCCCTGCAGTTGATGATTTGCCATTTTTCAGAATTCGGTGTCAGAAATAAACCAAATAGGGCCATAGCCTATGTTCTTCAAATCTTCAGAGCAACAAGAACAACAAAAGTGTGAGAAATTGCAGATTTTGTCATAGAACAAAACTCAGCAAAGTTCTTCTTTCTATTTTATCCATACATCCAGCTCTGGGCTCTAAGTGGGTGAAGTGGCTGGCCCTGGAGGGGACTCATACTTTTTCCAGTTGTCCCCTTCTTCTGTTGCTTTGAGGACACAAAGAATTCTCAAATGGCAAGATGCCATTTTTCTTGTGAATGTTCAGCTATTTTCCTTCTACTATATATATATAAAGATATTTGAGAAGGATAGGGGAAATACTGGGAAATGATATCTGCCAAATTATATTGTTAAATTGTGTGCATGTACAAATATGTAACAGCAAATCCCACCATTAGGTAAAACTATAAAAAAATAGTAATTTTTATAGCATCAATTTAAAAAAACATGGAAAAAATACTAGTAAAGTTTAATTTTATTTTGCTGCATATGGATTTCCAGTTTTCCCAGCACCATTTGTTGAAGACGCTATCTGTTCTCAGGAAGACATTTAGCAGTGGACGAACTGAAGTCAGAATGAATTTCATTTTTGTTTTTTTCTTTTTGCAATAGGAAGATAACTACCATTTCCATATCCCTTTCTACCATTTTTGGAAAGATGGGTCAGAATTAACTCTCAGACACAACTAGTAAAATAGCAAACTTCTGCTACGTCATGGGTTTCCCCAAGTTGAGCAAGGTGGGGCCAGGACTTCTCCCTTTAGTGTTAGGGCGTGTAGACTTTTCCATAAGCTAAGAAGCTTGCCCAGCCCAAGGGCAGGGAGAGTACAAACCTGTAGCTCACAGAAGACTGTTTATTCTCAACTAAAATTAAGCACTATTAAAATCCAGAAAATGGCTAGATTTACCAAGATTGACACTTTACTTTTTTGTTTTGTGGAAAGAGTGCCTARTTAATAGGTAGGGCAAATTTCTAATCATGGAAAAATCTTCTGAGTCAACTGTTTTCTAGAAAAGAGAAATCAGTCTTTCCCTTTGCACTTGACTGGCTCCTTTGTTCCCTGACAGGCACCTGCCTGCATTTTCCTAGACTCATTTCTGACCTCATTGTTGGAATCATGAAGCTCCAATATAGTCTGGGTGGAGTCTCATTTTAGAAACCAGGGCTTAAAGGTAAGATCTTCATTATGTGGAAGTAAAGAGTGAATTCTCTTTAGTGCTCTAAGACCTTGTGCTTTAAGGTCATGGTCCCTATGCA